GAAGTCATTGCACCTAATTAAATTATTCAATTTAAAATTAATTCTCAAATATAATTAAACTTTAATTTGGCCCATGATTAAATCAAATTAACTTATTAAAAATTTAATTATATCCTTAAACTTAATTTTTATGCAGATTTATCTAATAATTATTTAATTTGATATTAAATCTACATTGTTTATTCAATCTGGGGTATAATGGGATATAATTAGGCTTCAAATTTCATTCAAAATTACAGCTTGATTTTCTACAGTTGAAATCCTTCCTCAGCTAGCTTTCTCCACGTTATCATTCTTTGTTTTATTTTTATTTTGAAAGAAAAAAAGATGAGTTTAAGGAAAGAGCCTAGAAATAGATTATGATAATCTTAAGCTATCAAAGTCTACATGCTCAAGTCTCATATGCCTAAGCCAAATCTCATTCTTTACACATACATTTAGGCATATATGTATTTATGTTTAGCAAGAACATTCTATTCTTTGTCATGATTACCTTTGTAATCATAATTCTATAGTGTCAAGTAATGTCAAAGTATAATCTTTTATCTTAATCTCATACCTATTTTCCAGCAATTGTTCTAAACTCAATATGTTACTTTTTATTATTGGTATATAATAGACATCACTAATAAATTGATGACTTCTATCTTTTAATTTAATCAAAATTGTATATTTTCTTTTAATGGCAATATTTGAATGATCCACAAATATGACATTACCTCTAATCACTTCATTAAGCTTTATGAACTTGTCTTTATCTCCACACATATGATTGCTGGCTCCATCATCTAAATACCGTATGTTCTCTTTGTCTTTCATTCTCTCATCATGCATTAGTTATAGGATGGCTTCCTTCTTCTTTTCTATCACTAAATTTGCATTCATCTCAACTCTCTTAGTTGAACTCCAACAACCCCTATCATAATCAACCTTTTGACAATTATAGAATTTAACTTTTGATTTATCAAACCTGGATTTTAGATTGCTATTGTTAATATAATTAGTTGATCGATTTGCTTTATATAGTCAACTAGTTGACCTTTTGAGGCTGTCACAACCTTCTCTTTTAAATTTTCCTTTTCCTCCTCTTTCTTTACTTTGTCCACGTCTTCTACCCCCTCATTAATTTCCATAACTATCTTGCTTTGAAAAGAATTCTTGTGCACCCATATCTTTTTAAATCTCATTGACTCTTTTTTCATGGACTTGTAATTTTCCCATGAGATCTTGGGTTGAAAAACCATCCATAATTTGTGACTCTTCTATCGCGACCACCATGTAATGGAACTTATTTTGCAGCATGCGTAGGATCTTCTCTACCACATCTATCTCTTTCATCTTCTCCTCATATCTCTTTATTTGATTATATATGGCTAATATTTTTGTAAAGTATTTTGAAATATTCTTTGATTTAAGCATATGTAACTTTTAAAGTCACTATGTAGCTTTTATAGATGTATATTTCTCGTATTGTTAGCTTCTTGTTTTGATTCTTGCAAAACTTCCCATGCTTGCTTGCTAGTGGTTGCGTTGGCCACTATCTCAAAAATGACATCATTTAGACATTAGTAGATGATTGTTAGTGCTTGTTGATCCTTCATTCGTGCTTTTTGCACGACCTTTTTTTAGGGATGAAGTCAATATTACTTTATTTATAGACTCCTTAAAGCCTTTTTCAACTGTCTTTCATACATCTTGGGGACATAACTAAGCTTTTACTTAAATACACCGTGTTTCATACGTGTTCTTTGTTAACCTAGGATATTGAAATGACAAGTTTAGATTAACCATATTAAATAATAAAACCTAAGTTCTAATACCACTTATTGGAAAAATGATGAGTGTGGTATAAGATCAAACACATTAATGCAAAGTAAAAAACATAAAAACAAGAAGAAAAATGAGAGGAAGGAATACTTTTATTAAGTGTTTCCCACTAAAGTCTCCTATCAATTCTCTCTCTTTTATGCTTTTTAATAATATTGAATTACATGCCTTTTTATAAAAATGAAGTCCTAAATAATCAAGGAATTAATGTAATATAATAAAATCTTAGTCTAAATAGGAATTGTATTCTGTTGACTGAACTGGTCGACTATTTCTCAACTAGTCAACCAATTTATTTAATCCAATTAATCACCTGATTTTCAATCGGTTGACCGGTTCTTCTATACTTCAGAAAAACTAAAAATCAAGTTTAATTTTCAATATAACCTTCCAAACATACACAATAACTTCATACATTTAAGCACAAAAAATCATCAAAACACACACAAAGCATTAATCCCATCAAGCAATAAATACCACTACCACTATCTTTTATCAACAAAATAAGAAAAAATACAAATAAGTCTTTTAAGTTAGTAAACTCTTAACAAATATAAAAAGGGGTAGGTTTTTAGCTATTGGAAATAAAGATAGAAGTTGTTGTAGTGATTAGTGGGTAAAAACACAAATGTTGGCGATTCAAGCTTTTGTAAGGTTTCACATGTTTTTTTTCCTTTATGAGTTTAATAGAGGGGTAACATACTTATAAGATAGCTCTGCTTAGGACTCAATTCAAGATCTTGTTTATAAGGTAAGTGAGTCAATACAAGTTAATTTGGAATAATTTAAAATAGAATTGATTTAAGATTTTAGTTTTTAAATAAAATTGATTAACTGAGTTAATCAAATTTAATTACATTAATTTTAAGTTTATTTGTTATGAAATTCAATCTAAACTAGATTTTATGTTAATGAAATTCATCAAATTAAAATGAGTTTTATTCCTATCAGTGTAAGTAATTTAGAAATTTAGTGGGGCTGTTTAACTTTGTAAACCCTAAAACCTGGTAATCAACTGGTTTAACTAGAGAACAATCTAAAAATCACTAAACTCTTAACATTTGAATGTTTTGATAATGACCAGAACAATAACCTAATAACTTGACTGTTATCCTCATTTATTCATTAATTGACACTTAAATGAAGCGAGTTTTTCACGTTTCCCGGCGAGTTCTTTTTCTGGAAATAAGAATCTTTGTGGTGAACCGCTGGCGTTGGATTGTTTTTCATCAACGGCGGAGAGTGAGCCAGCAAAATCAGGTGATGTAGGAAACAAGAAGAAAAATGAAAAAGGGACTGAGTGATTCGGTGGGTTACTCGGTGGCAATTTAGGCAGCTCTCGTGACCATCACGTGCTGTTGTTACCACGAAAAAGACGAAATAGTGAGGCCCGCGAAGGATTTAAAGGAAAAATTGGGTTAGCTGGCCCCTTCAATTCAATTATTAGATTTTATATACAACTATTTTATTTAAATCTATATTTTTTAAATTATATCATAAAAATTACCGCAATATCAGCCCCACACTGAAACATTCAAGCATTGTTAGATTAAAAGCTTACTGTCACTCTAATGAGGTAGCTTTTGGTCTGTGATTTTCAACTAAACGGAAGCTTACACTCTCTCTTGCATGGTTAGTATTTCTGAAGATGGTCTCTACCAACTCCAGCATGCCTCATCTATCTCAAACAACGCTTATAAAGCAACAGAACTAATGTCCAACAACCAGAATAATGTTAGCCAAAGAAGGTTCACCCAAAAATGCGATGTTTATAGCTCTGGGGTTATTTTGCTCGAGATATTGACAGGGAAAATGCCAAACGGAGAGGGAGAAACAAGTTTAGTGAAGTGGGCTCAAAGAGTGGCAAGAGAAGAGTGGACTTGGGAGGTGTTTGATTTTGAGTTGTTGAGGTATAATATGATGGCAGGTCTCATGCAAGTGGCTTTGCTTTGCTTGGCTCTATCGCCAAGAGACCGTCCAAAGATGAGCACGATGCATACGATGATTGAAGATATTAGGACAAAGGGTGGTGACCGGAATTCTATTATCTATCAGAAAGCACCATCAATTTCACCGGTGGGAGTTGATTTCTTTATAGAAGAGAAGTGGCAGCTGTTGCGTTTGCAATTTCCATAATTAAGCTCTTAATTAGCAGAAAGGGAGCTGGGATGAGAGATAGCACACCATGGCCCGGGCTATTTGCAAGTTCTGTTGAAACAATAACATGTAGATATAATCTAGTTTTCAGGGTAGCATGTTCTGAACGATGGAAATTATATAGTATATATGTATAAGTGCATGATTTCAAGCACTAACAAAGTAGCAGCAGAACATTTCTTGTTAGCAATTAGAATGCCAACAGAAATGTAGGCAATTGAGATCTTGTCGTTCTTAGCGACTCTGTAACTAACTGTTTGACATTTAACACCGGTATTTTTTGAAACAGAGGATTGAAACTATTGGCACAGTACTGGTTGTTGTTGGGTGCACAGAATGGTCAGTTGTTCCTGAGCCAAAAAAATGGGCGGTACATCTTCCAGATGAAAAATGTCAAGACATGGCCATTCAAAGAAGGTCATGTTTGTTTGCTTGGTAGTCCTGGGACAGGATTTCAATGTTAATGCTATCTTACTTGGACTACACAGTCTTGAATGAGCTTTTAAGAGGTCATGAACAACAAACACAATGCAACAATACTAGAAGCCGACGTGAGAAGATGTTAACTTGTGGCTATGAATGCAAGACAAATCCAAAGAGAAAGGCCACGAAATCACATGGTTTTGACCAACTTGCATGGATGCTTCTTCATGAGGAGCCAATTTTTCCGTCGATCAACGGGTTGGCATTGGGGTCCAGAATTCAGGTGGTTCCAAGCAGAAATGGAAAAGAGGGAGATGGCTTTATCACAGGATTGGTCGGTCCATCATAGTCTTTCAAATGGCTAGCATTTTTTTCAGCTTATAAGCAGCTACCTAAACCTCTCCTTACCTTTGTAGGACTCTGAATTGATAAATCCAACAACCATCGATAGCCATTACTTGATGTTTTCAACTGTACCCACAACGAATCATGAAAAAAAATCATGGGCCACAGCCTAAACAGCGAATACCTTGAGTACTGTGGATATCAACTACAATTCACGTTGTGAAACAAACTTTCAAACGAGGCAGGGCTTCATATCAAAGTTAACTCCACTTTCATATACAGAAAATATCAAAAGTGAACTTCCAGCAGGGTGCAGGTTTACAGGTGCAACAGAAATTTAAGATTGTGCTATTCAATGACATTGCTAAACTCAAATGACTAAATGAGACCATAATCACAGAAGGCACGAAACAGTGTAATTCTCTCCTACCAATGTAAAAAAAGAAGCTAAGTTGTGTAATGCAAATCTATCAAACATGTCACTGTATGAATTTCCTGCTGGCACGTGTCTCCTCTCGGTATATAACAATCAAAATTATAAGAAACCTGAGCAGAGCTACTGCAACACTTTACAGTCTAATCTTTGTCATTTATCAGTTTTCCGAGAAAATACCATGGTATCATCCTTTAGATTGTCCACTGCTCGTGTTGGCATGATTTTCCATCGTGTTTTAAACCTCTATGGAACTGAAAACAGAACAAAATAAAACTTGCATCAGTAATAACAGCATATCACATTGGTAAGAAGATACTGATTACCACTAGAGTAAAGCATCTTCTTTTCACAGTGCAAATACATGCTATACTGATTGTCCACTCCTATTCTGATTATCACATTTCCTTGAGATCTCTCTCGGTCAACCAGGGATCTAAAGCCCAAACTAAACAACAAAAGTAGTGAGGTAGGCCACTCTGTAGCAAGACAATGCTCAAGCAGCCCTTTGGGGCCTCGGAAAATAAAACAAGGTCCAAGAAATTTTGCACTTGCTATCCAAAAACATGAATGATTGAAAAATGACATTATTTGCATAATATGTGAAAGCAAAAACTTGAGATATCCTAGTCTTTTTGATGCAACACAATTGTAAACTTGTAGGAATACCTGTCACTAACACCTACTATCCCAAGTCCAAACCACTTGTTGTTGGTAACCATCTGCAGAGGAATCAGTCTTTATCCTTACTATCTCAGTAGTATTTACTCATGCATTTGCTAATGTGTGAAATAAAACGAAACACCAGATATAATCTCATATGACGTTAACCTGGGTGATTCAAAGCAACATTCTATAAGCAAAACATTTATGGCTCTTTAAATAATCATAACCGACACAATCACTCATAGTTGCTCCACAGTGAAATGAATGCATGGCATCAGACTTTGCAAAACAACGTAATTATCTAGTTTTGTATGCACTAACACGAATTAAGAAGACAACAGTACTTTTGAATGCTTCACTCTATTATCTAATTACCCTCATTAATTTTAATTCGGGTTTCAACTCTTTTAACATTACAAACACAATTCATTCTTGTCAGTTGTTTGACACTTGTAACTGTTATGCTTATATATCACCTATTAACTCTTGATATTGACTAATAAAAACAGTAAGAATTATACGCATGCACTAATCAAGAATATCAAAAACCGTCAATATCGCTCACATCCTGGAGAGGTTGCTTCCCATGTACTTTTGAAGAGGATGGTGATGATGATGGACGCCTTTCAGGCTTAACAGCAGGCTGGCCAATAGAGAGAGAAATCCCTTGATGAACACCATCAAACAGTTTAGTTTCTTGAGCAAAACTGGATTCTTGAAGTTGTTGAGGGTTCTGAAGATTCTCATACAAAAAGTTACAATCTTGATTAAGAGATTGGACAATATTAGCACTACTGTTTTCTTGAAGAAAGTCCACAAAGCCTACATTATCAACAACATTTTGGTCTCCAAGTTGTTGTTGCAGGGTATGAAAGCAGGCCACTTGAGCTTGCACAAACTCAAGTTCAACCTTGACAGCGTTAATATTCTGCAGCAATCTTGAAATGATGCCAGTACACCCACTAACAGGATCTCTAACTCGAGCATTAGCTTCATAAACCATAGATGTAATAGACTCAGGTTTCTGTTCGGGGATTATTTTCTTGAGGTTGTTGGCAATATTATGTACCCCAAAAAGCTTGTGAGCAGCCTCAAAATCTTTTGCTTTCTCAGGAGGAAAAAACGGAGCCAGGGGGCAATCTGGTCTACATCTCCTACGTTGGTGCCTACAAGCTGCACAAGCAGGCGGTTTCATGAGCTAAGATCCCGGCAGCTTGAGATGAGAGAGAGATTAACGGGTGTGAAGGAGAAAAGGAAGGAAGAGAGGGTGAGAGGGGGGGAGGGACTAGGGCTTAACTGACGTACACAATGATTTATAAAGATAGAGGGACGTGGCGTGGTGTACGTGTGCTACAGTTTTTGTATTTTGAATGAAGTTTATATTTCTGGTTATCTTGATTTTGTTTCTCTGTGTTTGTTTTCTTGCTTGCTTTGCGCAGCAAGCTTGGAGATCTTGAAAACAGTGGTCAATTTGTTTTCAAAATACCCTATCTCCAACAAGGCATATATCAAATTTTTTGAATCATGGAAGCGTTGCCAGTAATTGCTGCCTAGAGTGTGGTTGAAATTATAATAACAGTTACGGTTTAAAGAGTTTTTTATTTAAAATATATTAAAATAAAAAAATTTAATTTTTTTATATTAGTGTGTAAAAAAACGATGTAAAAATATAATTTTTTTTTATTTTAAATAAAATAAAAATTAAATTTTGAGGACACTCCCTTCATTGGCACATTTTATTCCTTTCCCATCAGAACTGGAAGTGCTGAAACGCGTCCATTTTGTCCATCCCACGTATTAACTTTAATTTATGTTCCAACTAGCAGCGTTCATCACTCCTGTTCAAAACAATTCAGATAAAAGGCATTTTTAAAAAAAAAACAAAAGATTTACTAATTCTTTAGGCAGTTCATTAAATTACGCATGCAGGATAACGAAAAGGGAGCCCGAGACCTGCAAGCAGAAACTAAACGGGGTGCAGACCCTAATTACATCTTCCTGGTGTCACAACGCCTTTCCAAAACAAGCGGCGCACGTCAACTTCCCGGTTAACAAAAATGAAGATATTGATTTTTTTTTTTGAATTTTAAAAACTTTTTTTTTATTTTAAAATAATTTTAAAAAAATTAATTTAATTTTTATTTTTTTACTTCAATTAATATTTTTTTAATGTTTTTAAATCATTTTGATATGCTACATAATTTTTAAAAAATAAAAAATATATTATTTTAATATATTTTAAAATAATTTTTTTTTAAAATAAATACAATTATATTTTCAAACACACTTTAATTATGTGATATGATTGTTTACCATTCTGACACGACTAAAAGATTGATGTCTTCTCCCAAGTGCAGGAGTGTCGAAATAATAAATAAC